AAACATTCTATAATCAATCAAAAATACAATACAAGATACTCTAATATTACTAAAAATTACCAATATAATCTCAACAACCTTACTTAACATTCTTTTAAATTTCATATTTAACATACAAAATTCTCAATTCAAACATATTTTACATATTATTACAGAGATCTTTTCTTCAACTATTTATAATAATATCAAAGCACATATAAACAAACAAACTAATGGCCTTCTACTTTAGCTTTTAAATAATCTATTAAATTAGTTTTATCAAGATCTTTGGTCTATTTACAACATATATCAACATCAATGAGAAATACTTTGCAACATTACATCAAAATCTAAATGCATTAAAATTTACTTACCAACATTACCAAATCCTTCAAACAATATAACAATCTCTTCTCAAACTATAAATATTAATTCTTTTATTATCAAATAGCTTACACAAGGTTTTTCACTAACTTCTTGTATTTAATAATATTTAGACAATCACTTAAAGGTCTCCTTCAACTTATCCTAGCTAGAACCTAATTTGAAATAGTTAGCTATAGCATTCACGGGAAATAGGGAGTGTAATGTCACATTGGATGCCAATTTGTAGCACAAATGTAGTTTAGAAATCTTTAATTTTAGAACTTATAATTCTATATATAAAAAGTTTCTACTTGAACATTATATAAATAAATAAATAAATAAATAAAAAAAAAAAGTATTGTAATAAAATAAATTCTAATAACTAACTTATATTACTAATTATATAAATCATATTATATTAGAATTAGTTAAAATTATTTTACTAAGATAAATAAAAAGTTAAATAATTTTGAAATTTAATAAATATTTATTAGAACTATTAATAATTAGTTTAAGATAATATAAAATATTTATAGAAGATTATAGTTGTTTTATAACTATTGAAGTCTAATTTGGGTTGTAATACTAAGATTAGAATTGTTAATTTATTAAAAGTAATTAGAGATATAATATTTGAGTTAGATATCTTAAATATTATAAATATTATATAAGTATAAGTTAAACATTGTACTATTTGGTATAGATCTGAATAATAAGACTTGTGTTTTATTATAATAAGATATTTAAATAAAATTTAGTTATATGAAGTATAAGAAAGAATAATATTATATAATCTATATTTCAAAATTAAGATAATAACTATATTAATAATATAAGCAATTTGTTTGTTAGTAATTTTCTTTATACTAATAATGTTAATGAGATTAAAAACTTTTTTTTTATCAGTTTAATAAATTAGGATAATTTATTATTAAATCTAAACTAATATTTAAAAAACTTGAAAACTTAATTTTTAGAAATAGAATAAATTAAAGATCTTAAAAATCATATTGAATTGATAGGTTTACAGATGTTTTTATAAATTTGACCAATTAATTTTTACTAGATTTTTTAAAATTTATAAAAATAGTTATTGTAACAATACTAAGTGGAACTACTCTAGAATTCTCTATTCATAGGGTAGCTGTTGAGTTATTTATGTAATATAGGACATTATTACACTCGAAAGAGGCATTGGATTTGGTGAGTGTATTTGGTAGGTATTCTTTATTATATCCTGTATATTTTATCTTCTTTTCTCTTATATTTTAAGCATATTACTTATATACTTTTTTTCTAACTGCTATATGCTATATACACTATATATGCTATATATGCTATATATATTATATACTATATATGCTATATACACTATATATGTTATATACATTATATATACTATATATACTATATATGCTATATATGATATATATGCTATATACTCTATATACTCTATATACACTTTATACACTATATTACTAATTAATTTTATATATATTAATGATAATTATATTTTGGATCATAACAATTTTTTCCACTTTAATATATTCATTCTATGAATTAGAACCAAGCTTCAGAAACCTTTAGCAAGTTGGTACAGCAAGAGCATGATGATTACATCTTGCAGAGTAGTTATTAATAGGTCACTTATTATGTTACTAAGAGTATTTATGATTTTTTTTTTTTGCAGTTTATTGTTTGCTAACTATTATTATTACTTTTTTTTGATGTAAGTCTCCATCAGGATCGAATATTTGATTACAAGGTCATATACTAGTAAGCATTGAAGAGCTTCCTTTTTGCTGATATTCATATGCTCAATTCGATCTAACACTATTTCTTTTATACACTTCAAGTACTGTTCAGATGTTTTACTGCTCAATTTCTCTTTGTCAGAGCAGTTTCCATTTTGATAACAAGAGCCAAGACTTTGTCCTTTATTAGGTAATAAAAATTCTTTAGGCTTAGCCAGGTATAGTTTCTTTATCATCTTTGTGTTATATTGGATCAACCTTTTAAACTCATTTACTCTTTTGTCTCAGTCTTCACAGACCTGGTTCAAGTTTTCTAATAGGGTTTATCATTCATCTTCAACTGACTTTGAATACCATTCTCATGCTGGTTTCTTATCTCTTCTAGTTCCAATTCTTTCATCTTTATCGATTTATTTATCCTTTTCGATTCCATTTCATTTGTCTTTTCCAACTCTATTCTGTTCATCTTTTCCAACTCCATTTTGTTTGCCTTTCTTGACTTCAATTTATTTATTTTTTTCGACTCCATTTTGTTTATCTCCTTCAACTATAATTTGTTTATTATATTCAACTTTAATTCGTTAGTCTTCTTCAACTCCAATTAGTTTATCATTTTCAACTCCAATATGTTCATTCTTTTCAACTTTATTACATTCAGCTTTTTCAACACCAATTCCATTTTCATAGCATTCATCATCATTACATTGGGCACTTGCATTTCTATTTTCATAGTGATAACTAACATTAAATGCTCTATTAAAATCAACCATATCTGTAAATTTTTGATAATAGCTAAAAGCTTTATGTTCATCTTTGTTGACACCAATTCATTCATCTTTTTTAATTCTAATATTATTTTCATAACAATGGCTAACATTATATATTCCATTAACATCTCCTAACTCAGAAGCTTTCTGAGAATATTTGAATTCCTTGCATTCGTTATCTTCAGCTTCTATTCTTTTTTCATAACAATAGCTGACATTATATGTTCTTTTAACATTCCTCATCTCAGCAGGTTTACAATAGCCAACATTATATGTTCCTTTAATGTCTCTCATTTTAGCAGGTTTACAATAGCCAACATTATATGTTTCTTTAACATTCCCCATCTTAGCAGGTTCATGATAAGCAAATGCCATATGTTTGTTTTTTTTGATCCTAATTTCATCTTTAGTAATTTTTTGATACTGTTAAAATGCTCTCTTTTATTCTTGGCTGTATCCATTCCTAAATCATAGCATTGCCAAGGGCTATGTTGTCTAGATAAGTCATCACTTTTAGCCAATTTCGAATACTACTTGAATATTCTATTTTTCTAATCTACTAGTCTATTTTTTTCTTTTCTTATACAGCTTCTTATGTTATTGGGGGTTTGGGTTCTTTGTTTTACCAATCATCTTGCTTGCTTCTTTCTTTTAGGAGTATTAGATTGGCATCTTTTTTTCAAGATATGTGTTTCTTGTTTCATATTAATTTCTTTTTTTAACTAATAAGATTTCTTTCTTCTTACTTCATTCGCAATTTCCTAATAGAATTCTGCAAACAACTTGAACTTCTGGAATTCTTCCTTACCTATTTTAGCATTATGGACCTTTTCGCTTGCTTTCTTTACATAGTTTCTGACATATTTGGTAAGACTTATAAAATTTTCTTTATCTAGTTTCATTTTTTTTTTTTTTTTTTTTTTTTTAGTTAAAGTGTATGTCTATAGGAGTTGATGTTTTTATTCATGTATTTGGACACAGATGCCTCTAGAGGCTCCCTTATATTGAAGGTTACAACTAGACACACATGCATTTTTGGTACCTAATTTAAGTAGTTTGCCTATACATTACTATATAGGTTCTATACTAGGTTCCATACCTGCAAGCCAACTACAGATCTAGCCTATTTAAACTCTCTGCATATGTAGTTCACCATGTCTCACAGGGACATCTTCAAGGCTACACACATCCAAAGTACCCAATGCCTTCAAGTACCCTTAGGACTAGTTTATTCTTGACAGAAAACTTACTAGAACCTTTCATGTTCTACACACAGCTAATTTAGTTTTATGCAATATGCTATAGTCACCTAACACTTGCAATTACAGAGGTTACTTGTTTAACTGCTACATTAACTATTTCTAGTCTTGTAAAGTTCACTAGAACCCTAGTATCTATCATCATGATGTCTTCTCCATCATCTCTTACTAACCACTACTCAGGACAAACAGGACTCTCCTAACTTCCAATCCAGATAACCTGGTATAGTATACTTATATATCCTTTTCCTTTGGTGATTTTAGTGGCCTGGTTGGTCATGTGCTGCTCTACACATCTTGACATCCAGTTTATTTACCTATCCCTTTGGAGGTGTTTCATGTGCTTTCATCGGTCTGACCATACTGTTGAAAGTTCATACTACCTCTTTACTTAGGAATTTCCAAGTAGGCTTCTGACTTTTCAGTTTCTTAGTTTACTGTGCCCAGTGGTCTTATTGTGGGTTTGCACTGAAGTCTTATATGACACCAGTTATTAACATTCCTCTATGTATGTGTAACATTACACTTGGAATAGATGCCCCGAGCTCTTATTCGAAATGGTGCAACTTAAGGTTACAGATACACAAATCCAACCAATTATCAAGAGACAGTTTGTCATAACACAGATTAATTTTCAAATTTCGGCATAGGTGAGATTTGAACTTTAGACCTGTTACTTGGAGTATGACAACCCAACCACTACACTAGAATTGTCATCCTCTTTTTTTTTTTTATATATATATACTTATTTTATTTTATTACAAAAAAAATAATGTTTTAAGCTCTTGAGTTTGTTTGTCGATCTTTATGCTAGGTTTTTAGACTCTAATACTAATTTACTTTTGATTTGACTTTTCAATTTTATTTTCTAATTTTTCAGGTATTACACTTCTATTGTGTAATCATTTGGATAGACATATGCATACAACAAAATCAGCCTTTAGAAAATTGGTTGTCTTGTATCAAGTGTCTAATACTTGAACTAGTTGAACCAAGAAGTATTTTTTTTTTTTTGACTTTATTATGACTTTTCTATACTAACAGTTTTTATGTTTCTCAGTTAGGACATCACTGATAATGATTCTATAGCTATTACTAGTTTCAGTAGTCAGCTAAAGTAAAGCAAGTTTTAGAGTTATCTCCTTCTAGATATATCTGCTTTTCTAGTTTCTCTGGTTTTTTTGTTTTTGTTTTTTTTGTACAGTTTCTGACTACTAATTCAAAAGTTTAATTGTAGATCTTGTTGTAACCTTTAGGCTTTAAGCTTTGGTAAATAATATATTGTCAGTTTATTTTAAGCTTTATGATCAATTTATAAGGTAAAGGTGATCGTAATTAATTTTCAGATTAAAATTCGGGCAGTTAAAATTCTTCAGAAGGTCCTATCATTAGGGTTTCAAGGCTTTCACACTTCTGTTGAGTAAGTATATTAACTTTTTATTGTGTCTTTTTGAATTTTTTTTTTTTTTTTTTTTTTAATATTAACACTTATCTTTCTCTTGATTTGCCAGAACACCAGAACCTAGACTGGATTCTGTTCTTCAGATTTCAGATAAAGTATTGCTTTTTTTTTTTGTTTTGCCTTGATATTAACTTTCTAACCAAATTTTCTTTTCCTTTTTTCTTCAATTTTTGGTAAGTACATCTATTATGGATTATTCGCTTTTTGCTGATATGTTGGTCAGTTTTTTTTTTGGTAAGTTTTTCTTCTTCTTTTTTATTCCTTATTTTCTTATCAGTATTAATTTTTCTTTATTTTAATTTTTTTTTTTAACATGATATGTCAGTCTTGGTAATGTAACACAAAAATTATGCAGCTTTACAGACTCATTATGTTAGCCCAAGCTTGTTTGTTCCTTTAGATATATATAGTTTTTAAATTTTTTTTTTTTTTTGTAATGTTGGCCTCTTTCTTTATATAGTACATCAGTAAGGTCTCGATTTAGCAGTTCTTTGAACTTGATATATTGGTCTGGGGGACAATTTTTTCTCACTGATATATTGACTTTCATCCTTTATATGGTGCATCAATAAGGTCTTGATTTGGTGATGTTTTTTGAACTTAGTATATTGGTTCAGATGACTCTTCTCTTCTTGCTAGTACATTGGCTTTTGTTAACACAGTACATTGGTGAGTTTTCTATTTGATATTTTCTGTCTTGTTTCTTATTGTCCTTTTTTCTAATTTGATTTTTCTTTGTTTTTGAATCAGAGAAAGGGAGAGGGAGAGGAGGAGGTATGTATGGATCTCATAATCATCACAAAATGTAATAATACTAAGCAGAATTACACTAGAATTTCCTATTCATAGGGTAGCCATTGGGTCATTTGCATAATGTAGGATATTACTAGACTCGAAAGAGATGTTAGATTTGATAAATGTATCTGGTAGATATTCTTTATTATATTCTGTATATTCTATCTTCTCTTTTCTTATATTTTAAGCATATTACTTATATACTTTTCCCTATCTGCTATATATGCTATATATACTATATATACTATATACACTATATACACTATATACTATATACGCTATATACACTATATATGTTATATATATTATACATACTATATATGCTATATATGCTATATATGCTATATATGCTATATATGCTATATATGCTATATACACTAAATATGCTATATACGCTATATACACTATATATGCTATATATACTATATACACTATATACACTTTATACACTATACTACTAATCTAATTTTATACATATTAATGATGATCCTATTTTGGATCATAACATTATAAATACTAAAATTATTTTTAACTACAAAAAATAGTTATAATAGTTATAAATAATTTTTAATTACTGAAAATAATTATAATAGTTAAAAAATAATATTAACTAGTTAATCTTTAAAAAATCTGGTCTTGAACTAGTTTACCTTGTCAACAACTAATCTAACCATAATGTTTTTATATAACTTTGAATTTTAGAATAATAAAGATATATACTAATTTAAAACTAAATATAAATTAGATTTACTTTTTTGCTACAGTTAAGGTTAATAGTTATATAAATGTCAAGAATATAATTTATAAAATTTATATATCAAATATGTGAATAGATAGCTACTTGATATCTAAACAGATATTC